CAAGAAGAAGCTTTATTTATTGTGACACGTACAACAAATGGTTCAGTGTCTTGCCCAAGGACACTTCGACATGTGGACTGCAGGCACCGAGATTCAAACCTTCAGCCTTCTGGTTGGGAGACGACTGCTCTACCCACCGCACCACTGTCGCCTCCCCCAAACTGCTGTTCTTATAGCCAATCAGTGAACAGTGGCATTTAATCTTTGATCATGCAAGATATGCCAGCAGCATCTCCTGTAAAGTGAGTAGATCTTTTGCATTGTGGAATAAGAATATGTCATTTATTTCTATTCTGTTTATCTTCATATTGCCTAGAGTGTGAAAGGTGTTGAAACTCTACTCACACCCAACTGTGAATCTGGATTTGCAAGGATAAGCCCACTCCCTGTGCAGCACTGCACTAAGGGCATAGGGACTATTACTCAGCTAAATGTAAATAGTTGTGCTGAAGCTAAGCTAGCTGCCTCCTATTACATTCAGAAAAAGCTACGGTAGTTTCTTTGGAAACTTAAACAGAATCTTATTGTTAGTTAGCTAATGTTAATGTCATGCTAACTAGGCACTGCAAGTTAGTAAGATAAAAAATAGTTAATTTGGAACATGAACTTACATTTGTGATTTGATGAAAGTTACACTTTCAAATTTGCCATATTAAACTGTTTAATTACAGCAGACATGTTCTTGAGTTTACCTGACTGCTCCCACGTAGCATATATTTTCTCTGCATTATATTGTGTTGTATTTTTATTTGTTTCCTTCACCTGCTGCTTTAAAGTGCCTTAGATTTGTGACTTTACTGCCTATTTAGATTTGTGTTATTGCTCATCTACTTTATATTTCACTCGTTTTATGTGGCATTCATGTGAACAGCAAAGTAAGAATTTCATTGTACAGGGAAACACGTTTCCTAACTGTGCATATGACAAATAAACACTTTGACCTTTGACCTTGACCTTGTTAATTTTAAGTAGGTTTAACTTGTCAGATTAGTACAACTAAAAAGCCTTCAGTTGAGAAAACATGAAAATATGTTGCAACTGGTCACATTATCTTTTAGTTTTCTCAACTTTTTCATTTTTACAGTGTACTGTCTTGCATTTCCAGATGCCCTTATAGCAAGATAAAAATTGATTGTAGGAGTTTTTGCATTATTTATTAGCCCCTATTCTCATTTGCTGGGTGAGGATGAGTCATCACCTCCAACCAATCAGAGTAGGTGCTCATGAGTAATGTAAATTTTATGTTGACTTCTGAAACAGCCTGCTAGAGGACAGAAAGGAATCTGAGTTGTTTGTAAAGATGGATTTAGAAAAATCTAAACAATTTTGGGTGAATAAAATGTCAGATATATTTAAATAGCACTCAACTTTTATAAATAAAAAGGCCCAAAGGGGCAATAATAGCACCCCTTTAAGGTCACAAGAGTCTACATTCTGCATTTGAAGACATTTACTTAAATTATACATTTCATCTTTTTCCTGTATCGTCTGCTTTCTTTAAAAACTGAGGTGCAAGTGTTGAATTGATGGAACGCACTGAAAGGCATTTCAGCCCTTTATCTGTTCATAATGCAACAAGGCAGCCATGACACCTAACCCAGATAAATACTATAATTATCAGTTGCCTCTCACAGCTCACCAGTCTGCCGATCATTTGTCATATCCATCATGCCTACGCATGCACAAATACCAGCACATGCACATACACAACGTTTTGATGTGTCAGATCTGTATCCATCACAGCAAGTCAAAGGAAGATTTAGTGCAGCTCCTTGGTGGAGGTAACAACACCGTGGGTGAGTCAGTATTAAATTGTCTATTGAAGTGGGCCAGATTGGGTTAGGTCAATGGATCCATTCATCTACACTAATGCCCGTTCTGCCTCCATTCATTTTAAGAACTGAAGGAAACTGGAGAGAAGAGGACAGGGTCCGGGAGAAGAATGATGGGGGAAAGGAGAAAAAAAAAAATAATAATGGAAAAGAAGAGGAATCACAACCATATTTGAAATGCCAGAAATGCATTCAAAGACTGTGACACCGAATGATATAATTACTTTTCTTGTTCATTATATGCAATTAACTACTGTACATTGTTATTTCAACATTTGTCACAGCCGTAAATGTGCAGGGTCCTTCTATAAGAGCAATACAAACGAAACAAGACCTAATGGAATAGAACAGCATGCTGTGTACAGCACATAGCTGCAGCTATGCTAACAAGGCTTGTAATGAGCTTGAGGGGGTGAAAACACACATGCATGAGTGGACACAGGCATACATCTCTTCAGCGTGTTGAGACACTATCAGCATGCTCTCATTTTGCCATTACCACTTTTAAGTGTTTGTTGCTATGGCAACAGTGTGATTTATTCCCCAATTAAGAGTTAGTGAACTTGCTCACACTTACAACAATATCAGGCTGCACATAAATTACTTTCAAGAGTAATGTGGTGTATTTGCTTTTCTTTTTGATAACAAGGGAATATCACCATCTTGTGCCTCCCAAACAAGTAAACGTCTTTATCAAGAATTATTGTCTTCGTAAGTTTAATATAAAAGAACAAACTCTAATAATTGTGTGCTGCAGCTAACTGGTAATTAATGTGCTTGCTAAAAAGGATGATATTCAATGAGCTTCACATCCAATAACACCCATTTTCATCCATCTAGGTTAAAATGAAGATAAACAATACATGGATAAATGAGAGAGTTGGCAGGCAGGTGGGAATGTAATGGAATCAATTAGGCAAACACTCATGATTTATATTCGGTGTTCATAAGAAAGAAAGCTTAATTTTCTTTCACTTCCCCTCGTACTGATATCATTTGTTTCTAATATTTATGCAGTGATAACATGTGAAACCCATTCCCTCTTGTGACAAGTAATTTGAATAGCAGTGCCTCTTTCTATAGCTCTGTGTAAGCACATGGATGTGCATATCCAGCAGAAGTAACTGTTAATTATTAACTGATTCATAAACATGAAGGCAATTTCTGTATGTACTGGAGTATGATACATTCTGTGTACTTCTCTGTGTAGGTTGTCCCCACATTGATATGAAGGATGTTTACATTTCCATGGATGTGAGAAAAGAGACCCTGTTTAGCCCAAGTTTGCAAATGGTTGTCTAACATCATTCTGTAATGGAAACCCCTCTGTTCCTCTTTGTTTTTATTCCCCTCATTCTCTCCATCTCTCTTCTCTTGTTCACCACACTGTTATTGAGAAGTAGAGCTTGTCTGACCCTCATTAATGTCCCTGGCTTTTGCTTGGCTCTGCAGCTCTCTCTTCCTCTCGCCAGCCTCCTGCAGCTTCATCCCACATTCTACCCATGCCTTCCTCATACACGCAACACTAGCAGGTTTCAACTGTAATTAGTAGCTGAACCATTATGTATTCATATGTACTGAAGCAGAAGCATTTAGATCAATTTCTTTTTCGTGCCCAGCACAACTCTTCTCATTGTTCATTTATGCAGCCCACTCAGTACTGATGGACGTGTTGGACAATAATTAGACAGTTAATAAGCATCCACTTGGTCCAGGGAAACAAAGAGATCCCATGTTTGTCTTTATTATAGGCCTGTCTACTTTAACCTTAGTGGAAGACTGACAGAACACAGCACCAGTGGTGTATTATTGTATTATTTATGGCTGTTTAACTTTGGTTGCTGTGGATTGCCTACAGCTTTGGCCTAAGTGACACATTGATGCAAAGGTAAGAAAAATTCACATATAAACAGATCAAATTTGGCGTTTGATTATGTGATTGAAAACTGGCCACACAAGAACTGTGTACAGCAGTCTGTCAGTAACTTTTATCACATTGTGCAATCTGATAGTTTTTGGCACTATCCTGCAAAAACCGTGAAATGTCCCTAGTATCTCATTAGCTCTAGTTTTAATCATTCATTTGGACCTCTACCACAGAACCCAGAAAACTATGCAAAGTCAATACTGTTTTCACTTCTTCAGTGTCTCACTCTTTTCATGTTCCAAGATCACTCCTTTATCTCTTGCATTCTATTTTTCATCACAACTTTATCCTCATTCATACCCTCAAACACTCTTTAAACTTGAAGAAATGAGACCCACGTCTTATGAAAAAAATGGAACTAGGTCTGGGGTGATTACCAGAAAGTTTTTGACATACGGAATCACCCTTAAGCTGGTGCTGAATGTTTTAGAGCAGGCTGGTCTCTTTGAGGGGGATAAGACGGCTCTTGTGTCTGCTTGTCTTCCGGGGCTTTGGAGGTAGAGGAGAGGCACCTGTTCTGCTCTCCCCTCTCATCTCTTCACACTAATTAGAGAGAACAGCATTTAAATCTTAGCAGGGGACACACATCCTCTGTCTGCAGACAGGTGGGTGTGTGTACATTAGTTGTGTATTCATCCAAGTTTTTCATGAAGATTCTGATTCTATTTAAGTATGTCCAACATATTTTTAAACATTTTTACGTCAACATTTTCTGACATGCTGGTGGAGTACAATGTGCCAACTCTGTGTGTATGTGTGTGTGAGCAGTGTGGTGGCAAGGCACCGCAAGCGATGATAAGGAGGGGGCTTAAGGCGTGGGCTCTCAAGGCCTAATCACAGCACGCATTTCAAAGGCGAGAACGCCAATTAAAACTGATAGGGCTCAATATGGGCTTTTGGGCTGCCACAGTGAAGTGCACCACATCCAACATGAAAATCAATTGTCCCCCCCAATCTCCTGGTCAGGGAAAGCAGTCTTCCAGCCAGTGATCCGTGAACAGCCTCTGATAAATACACCAGCTCTACAAGGGGCTGTGGCAGGGGCAAGGGGAAAGACTTGAGGGGTCATGGTGGAAAGACAGAGATTTGTGAGTCCCCCTGTCATCATGTGTGAATGTGTGTCTCTGTGCATGTTGGTGCATGGAGATCACAGACCCTGTTATTGCAGCTTGTAAAAGTAGGTGAAAAAGTGTAGAGGGACTGCACTGCCAAGATGAGTCAGTTCGATATTCTCTGCAGCTTTCAAACTAGTTTATTTCTTTTTTATCATGATGGATCACTGTTATACAATCATTTGACCCTATATGAGAGGACAACCAGTATAATACATACCAGTCAAATTAAAAGTATAGTTCAGCATTTTGGGAATATGCTTCATTAGTTTCTTGCTGATAGTTATATAAGACGATTGATACCACTTTCATCTTGGTACACCAGCTATGTAGGTAGAAGCCAGATGTCAGGTAATGTACCTGAGCACACAGACTTGACACAAGGGGAAACTGCCAGCCCTGCTTGTTAACTTTGGCCTGAGCTAGCTGCTTGCCTCTGTTGCAAGTCTTTGTGCTAAGATATCTTAGCTTAGCCTTAGTCTCTGTGCTAAGCTAAGTATCAAGATATGTTAGCTTTGCACAAAGACTTGTAACAGGAGGGAACTCTTAACATGGTTTGGTCGAAAAGTAAAAACGTCCATCTGCTAGCAGCTCTAAAGTCACTAATTACTTCACTTCGCTTGTGTGAAAACTAAAAGCAGTTCTAGTTGAGAAGGATAACACCAGTCATTTTTTATGTTAATAGCATTTTCAACAATCCCCATACAGAGACTAAAACCAGTGAACTGCCACTACTCACTGTTAATATCTGTCCATCTGTGTGTGTTTCACTGATGTGTTTTAAATTGTTTCTGAACAACAATGGAGGTCTATGGCACAGACGAATAGGCTAATCCAGGACTGACGGACTGACAGACAGTTGCACTGATTTACATTCATTTTGTAACCTCAACCATAAACACTACTTGCCTAATCCAAACCTAAATTTAATCTAACCCCAACTTCACCATAACCTTAAACCAACTCTGTATATGAAGCAGTTAAAATACTATTACAATCTAATACATTATATTATATATATGACATGATTAGATTGCAGCAGTTTGAATGCTGGACTTTTAATTGTATATTTGAATATGTTTCCGCTGTTGTACTGGTATGTTTACTTAAGTAAAGGATCTAAGTACTTTTTCCACCATTGCAATGTTCTTATCTAACTCTCGCCGAGAAAACCTCAAAACGATGAACTATTACTTTAATAGCTAAACATGGCACTAAAACATGATCAAATATCAGAAATACAATTAAAGTTACATTTGTCAAACAATCAGAGAATGAAAGTGACAATACACTTCATCAGAAATAAGTAATAACTTTGTAAACATACTTAAAAATCAATTCATTAAAGGTTTAGGAATCACTTAATTACAGTACAGCTCCAATTCAACAGTGCGAGCATGCGTCTCTGAAAAACTGATTTTTCACATTTGTGGTGTGTGTGTCCTTCAACACTCTGGGCAAACAAAAAAAAATTACCTTTATATGTCACTGAAGTGATACACATACACACATGCTACACACAAGCTGAATGTCAAGTAAAGATTCCTTGCCATCATTCACAGTGTAACTGCTGTAGGTCACACTCTGCTAAAACGATTTATGGTGACATCCCGTACACTTATGATGTGAGTGTGTGTGTGTTTGTGTGTGAAGGCTAATATGCTCTGACAAGCTGATAACATATTTCTTATCATATTGTTTGACATCATTAACTAATAAAGATTGACTACCCTTTGTTCCCTGTCACTGAGTGTTTGTACTATTGCCCTGATGCTATAGTGTGTGTGTGTGTGTGTGTAGACAGAGAGAAAGAGGGAAATTTGAGTGTTTTTTTTAAAGTTCAAGGCTTTCCCTTCCACAGATCAGACTCTGGCTGGACCCAACCTTCTCCCATGATGCTTTGCAGGCGAAATTTTTGGAAATACTCCAGGCGGTGGCTAAGAAACAAAAAAAATTAATGTATTATACACAATTATTATTTATATACACATATACTCTACATTTAATTTTTTGAATGCAATTACCTAGCCAGGTGTTAACTAAATCTGACAAATATAAAAAGGGCAAGCTGAAGGTAAGCGTGTCAGTATTTTGTCATACAAACTGCCCAATTAGTGGGTACGCAGAGTTTACACATGATGATCAGTTTACTCATCACAAGAATTACTACTCAGCCTGTGTAAAACAGTTGTAAAATTTCTTATATTTTTCTATAGGGAGCTTTGTACAGTCTGACAAAACCTCAGAAAATATCTCTGATAATGTCATAAGGATTATCTTGGCTGGAGCTTGAGACTTTAAATTTGCACCGAAAGGCAGTGTTACAAACTGGGGAGTGGATTTTTCCAGTTCAACGGAAGATGCCATGGAGCTGGATTTTGGGAAATGTAGGATACTGTTTTTGGAGCTTGACCCTTACTAGAGGAAAAGTGAGAATATCTCAATATCTGCTGCTTTGATTTTGGCCATTCTTTTTTTTTTATATCAGACTCTCACAAGTTCATCTTATTGAACTAAAATGCTGGAGTACCCCCTTCAAAACAAAACAATGTTTAGCTATGAATAACGTTTGTGTACTTGATCTACATGACCTCAAACAACTGTACACATAGGAGCTGGCGTACTCACAAGTTGGGCTTTTGGCCTTCCATTATTTCCTCCTTGGGGATGGGATAGAGAGCCTCATATGTGCGCTGTTCTCCTGAGCCATGGATAGCATAGGAGTTCATCTTGTTAACATTGGGAGGGAAGTATGACCAGGGAAGCAGAGCCTCACCCATCCACCTGTCCCCTGTGATTGTGGCATTAAACACCATGGGCAGTTGTTGCTGAAGGAAGAAATAAAGAGAAAACTAAGAAATACTTATCACCTAATACAAAAAATTCAATTAATTAACTCCCTTGACGTCTACCCACCTGGAATGCTTGGCCAACTCCTGACAGCAGTAATATCAGGTGTTGTCCATGTCTAAAACAGAAATACAGCGAATATTTCACACTGTTGTACTGTATACATACTGTATGTTCACAGGCATGCACAGTAAAACAGCTTACTGTAGCTCTGTACTTACGGACAAAGCTCCACCTCCAGGTAATTCTCTGTAGTACTATCAAGGAAGAAGGACTCCACAACTGAAGAAATGAAGAAAAAAAGATAAGACCTTTAATTTTATATTAATAAATTGCTTAAAATTGTTATTAACCTAATCAGCACCTATTCTTGAAAAAAAGACAATAATTGAATTATCTCAGTCATTTATTTTAAGTTACAGTTTAACAATATCATGCAAAAGTAACAGATACATAAACTTTCAAATAAGATATGAGGACTTGTATACCTGATAACAGCATGCTCATTATCTAGCTAGATTATAATGGGTTTGGTTTACAATCTAATAAGTAACATTAATGAGGCCAAATATGAGGGGCTCATTAATCGGAAATTGAGCTTACTTAGGTCAATTAGATAGGATTGTTATTACTCAACCTCATTTCGGGGTTTAATTGCTGTGTCACCATAATAATGATAATGAAATTACTTTTATGGTCTCATAAATACAGCTAGTCCCTAGTCTCTTCAACCTCATTGGACTGCGTTCATTATTTTATTTCATCTTGTAGAGCGGCCTAAAATTGCATCATACGGACTAAATCATGACTGTAATTATAGTGTTATAATTAGTCCAACCATTGGGGGGTGGGAACCATAAAAGTAATACCTGTACAATATTATGCAATCTATTACAACAGGCCATAAATGTGACCTTTGTGAGGATTATAAAGTTCAGTTTGAATCAACACACTGGCATCTCGAGTGTATCACTAGAATAATAACACTTGGCATTTCTGCACATTTGGAAATACAACTATTTGTTTTTCTGACAGACATTCTTGTCTATATACTGAACTAAATAATTAAAAAAATGAAATATATTGTG